AGGCTGAACAAGCTGTGCTCCCTCAGCCTCTCTCACAGGCCTCCCTAACCATCTTGGTGGCCCTTCACCAAGCTTACTCCAGTTCAGCTTGTACTGAGGATACAAAACTATACAGTATTCCAGATCTGGTCTAATGAGTACTGAGTAGAAGGAGAGAGGAACTCTGGAACTACTGGCTGTGTTACTGTTAATACAACGAAGGATGCAGTTAGCTACCTTTGCTGCCAGGGCAGATGCTCTTTGCTGCTGGCTAATGTTTTGGTTTGCTGACCTGCAGGACCATCGGAGTCCCTTCCAGAGAGCTATGCCCCAGAGAAGGGAGATGCCATTTATTTTCTTCTGGCTTAACCTCTTCTACTGACATGGTCCTGGAGCCTGAAGGTTCCAGCGGTCCTGCAGATGAAGGAGACAAAGAGGGTTTCCTCCCACAAAGGGTAGGGTACTCTAGGGCTACATTTATCACTAGATGAGCTGCAGCCTTTGTGTAATGGATGCAGTAAAAGTACACACTTCGGGTGTGTTCGGGCTACAAACAAGGTGTCTGTGTTCCCTTTGTAATGAATGGAAGCAGGCTCCTTGCTCAGTGAGGCCAGACTGAGGCAGTGACTTATTTTCCCTCAGCAATCACTTTGCTCCCATCATTTGCTCTTGCTCAGCTGAGGAAAAGTCTGAGAATCTGAATTTCACACCCTCATGGAATCTGAAATTGCTACCGAACAAACGTTACCAGCTCCAGTTGTTTTACCAATCTCTACTTTTATAGATATATTTTTGTCGTTGTTTTTTTACCCTTTCTAGATGAAAATGACACTTGACAGCAAGAATGACCACTGCATGCTACAGAAATGAACTAGGAAATTAAGTTGAGGAGCAAGACACTTGCGTGAGCATATTTGTAGGGAATAAGGCTTCATGTGGGTGGAATGTGCCTGTTGCAAAGGTTCTGTGGTAAAATTTACTGGAGCGTAACTTTGGGGGTTTGAGAGACACAGATAAGCCAAACCAACATACGTGTTTGCACTGTTTAGAGAGGCATTTTCAACACAGGGTGGTAAACCAACCTCATTCCAAAGCAGTCCAGTTCTCCAGGCGCTGTGTAGATCAGCGGGAAATTGAAGCCCATACTCAGAGGAAGGCCAGAAGAGAAACTAGTACAGTTTGATGGACAACACAGCACAGGACTAGGGTCATGACAGGAGGTGACGAAGGAGAAAAAGCTGGAAGAAAGTCAATGTAATTAAAGATCACAGAAAGAAAAGCAGTGCAGTTGCCTTTAGATCCCATATCAAAATTTTACACCTCCTAAACCCATATTTTTCAGTAATATTGCATTGAAAACAGTAAGTTACTGGGGTGATAAAATACTATTTCCTTTATTCAAGTTATTTCCTGACAAAAATAAGGTGTTTTCTGTCAATTTTGTAGTAACCAAAGAGTAAGTCAGCTCTGGACTGACACTTAACCTTGTCTGATGTCAGGTTGTGTCACACTTCAGCTCAAAGCAAGCGTGGTCAGAATCCGATGTAACTGTAATATATTTAATTGAATTTCACCAATTTAGGTGGACACCATTTGGAATCATGTATTGGCATCACAGCAGCTGTTTAATTGCAGTGTTATTAAATTCTGTAGTCATTCAGTATGCCACAGCTTTATACCACACATTCATATTCTCAGAGATACCATTAAATTTAACAGTTAATTTCCCTGTAGTTTGAAAGAGTGCAGACAGTCCAAACTTCTGCTACAAATTACACATGGAATTACCTAAACTTGTCATTCAAAAACCTCTTTAAACATCTACAAACCCAACAGTTGTATCCAGTCTGTGCCCAGTCTGGGGGCACAGGTGTTTGCCCACAAGATTGAATGGTAGCACCTGTACATGAACATTTACACTGGAAGTTTTAAAACAGGAGAAGCTGCAAAGATGCTGAGACCTCTGAAGTCTGGAAACAAGGCTGGCAGGTAGCTGAGTAAGTACTGACTTGTGAGTCAACCCTCTGGCTCCTCCTGCATGTTTGGGTTTCGGTTTATCACTGGCGTTTCAATAGCCATGAATTGTAGTTAACTCCAAACTGCAACTGAACATCCATGCACACAAAGAGAGTTTATTTTGCAATGGTAAATAAATAAGGTGAGCAGTTACTTCACACTGGTAATTATGTGGCACAATAAGCCTAAGAAGAGAAAATATTGACTTCCTAGCCACCAGTATTTTCTTTCTCTCTTTCACTCTTTCTAATCTCCCAAATGTTTTTTTTTAATGACACAGCTTACGTGCATGTAGTGCCTTTCATCCAGAACAATGCCAAAGTGCCATACAGGCTCTGTATTGTATTACCGAAGCTTCACAACAAATGCATTTTTCTGTATTAGCACTCTGTAGAAAAAGAAAGGACCCTGTGTACATGACAAAATACATCAAGAAGATGAAAGCATGCATATTCACATATAACCTGTTAGATCGAGATGGAAGATTAACGTAGAACCTCCAATATTGCCTGTATCAATTTTCCTTTTAATAGTTCAAGTACTTTAATGCCATATTAGTTAAGGTTTCATGATCTTTAGAATAATCAGTAGATATTCCAGGCTTCTTTATGTTATGGGAGAGAATGAAGCAGGAAACATAAAATGTGCTATTAAAAAAACCCTGAAAAATGTGTTTCTGAATTTAACCTCACATAAATTGAGTTTTCATTTCCATTTCACTCGTTTGTTTTTTTGATAAATAGATGTCTACCACTCTCCTCCTTGTTCTTTAACAGGGGGAAAAATAAAGAGATTTTTCTCAGTTTTTGCAAGTGTAACTATTACTGAATCCTATTTGGTTTGCATTTAACATCCAAAACATTGTAGTAACAGGTACTTTGCAGTATTTTAAAAGCATATGGTTTTACATATAGATAAGGCTTGCACTTTAAATATTACCTATATTTTTCATGATTAGTTATGAACTTTGCCCTCGATAAGTCCTCTGGGATTATAACCCAGCTGAACTTTGCAGCTATTTATTGTCTCTAGGGGGGTTTAAATAACAGTTCTCTGTAATAGTCTCTCAGTTTGAGGGCGTTTCAGTTCTAACCTTGACCTTAGCATTTCAGAAAGGTCTAAGCCAGGTTGATTATCCATCTCCGTAATTACAGTATTAAAAATGCAACTCTATATTCTTGTAATTACGTGAAACTCTTCCTCCTTTGCCTGAATCTTAAACAGCAGAGCTTTTCATAGGAACTCTGCTTTGGTAGGAATCACTGAAGAGACTTACCTTTTCCAAAACTGTGGGGACCTTGAAGTGTAGTGTCTCTGCACCTTCTGTTTCAGCATACAACAACAAAAATGGTGCATGTTTTATCTCAGTTTCCTCTTTGGAAGGACATCTGAGCTCTGTGCCTGTGCATCACATCTAATAGCTCTTGCATACCTCCTGTGTCTCTCCATGCGCCATTGTGTGCCCATGTGCATCAGTCATTGCACAAATAACACATTTCCACTTGCTCACTGAGAAACATCATAGATTTAAACAGGATCTTTACAACAGCCCTATCGTGCTGGAATGAATTTTCCCAGCAATGTGCATTGCTAGGCAAAACTCTGCACTCCTTATCCATAGTGGTAGCTCTACTGACACAAATACAAGCTCAGGCATTCAGCATTGTTTCCTCCTCGCCCATGAGCAGGAGCAGTCAGTGGTATACAATTGAATTCCCTGTCACAAATGGGACAGAAGTGGACCTCCTGTAACAATCTCTGCCTCGTGGTTTTGGTTATTTGCTCTAAATTCTCTTGACCTTTGCAAGGGTAAGAAGGTGCTCTACCAGGACACAATGGTAGCCATCACCGTCATCCTGCTTTGTGGTTTGCCTGGAAATTGCCTGCAATTTAGAAAAGCTTTCCTTTTAATTTAGTGCATATGTGAAATAAATTATACTATGGAATGGTGCTGTCAAATATTTATTTAGTATCTCAGTACTCGGACTCACTCGCCAATCAGATAAAATTAGGTTTGAATTCTTTGATACTGACATCATTTTCCTAACTTACAAATTCACTCTCAGACACAGAAGTAACGAATGTTTGCATTGGCCTGCTGTGAATAGCAGTGATGTTTAGGAATTTTAATGTACAGTTTAGTGTTTTCATACTGTCACTGTGAATCAGTGCTTAATTTTAGCTGGAGACAGCTTTGTCCTTAAACTACTTCTTGTGTTTTCCTATTTTCTAATTCAAACTGAGTGTTAACGTTGGCTCCTTTTAGATGATTTGCATAGAGTTTCAAAGGCATAGGATTTCCCAGGACATTACTGAGCAGCAACAGGGGCTGCAAAGCCAAGTGTATATTGCTGGGTCAACAAGATTGGCTTTTAACAATCAAACAGAAAACATAATTGAGAATAATGACTAGTATTTTGAGAAATGTTTTACTGTATGTGTTACTGTGCCAACATCCGTCTGCACGATCCTGATTATTATCTCTCATAAAAATAGCGTATGAACTTGTGAAGTTTATGAAAACAAGAGCTGCTCTAAAACAGGCTGAAGACAGTGAGACTAGTTTAAAAATAGCTTTTCTTCTCTGATACTTGCTTCATACAGTATGATAAGAAGTTGTGTTGTGCCTTAAGCACTTAGCTGAAAGTTTTGCACACAGTTAACCGTGTAGCATACAGAAGTAGCATCTTAACTGGATTCATCTGGTATTGCTAGAGGTTGATCAAAATCCAAAAACTAAGCACAGACAAAAACACAGGTTTGCTGAATTTGCTTGCTGAAGCACAGTAAATCCAAAAAGCATATAAGCTCTATTAGCACTGCATTCCCATTGCGTATTTACCTGTTCTCTGTGTTGCAATACAGAGTTTTATCACTGTCAATTTTCAGTCAGATAACAGAGCATATTTGAATAAGTTTTGCTTGGCCAACATGTAAAAAAGAAAACCGTGCATGAAATTGGTGGGGAGCAACTCATTTTGAGTCTTCGGTTTTTCAGGTCTGGTTGGATTTTGTTCCTCAAAGTCTTGTCTGTGTGGCTGCCTTACTGATGCCTACATCACTAGTGAGGGATCACCAAAGTTCTTGGGAACACTGGGGGGAATGTTGCTGAAGCCATTAGTGGCCAACAGTAGAAACACAAAAAGGTGAGAATGCCTCTGTGTGTCTGTCAGGAGAAAAGAAATTGCTCTGTATGTATGCTGACTGCCAAGGGTAGAACTTGAAGAATTAGGTTAGTTGGGCAGTTAGAGGGGAAAACAGTTACTTTCTTAAGCATTGTAATATTACAGGAAGTGGCATCACAACAAAACTGTAACTCTAGTGGCTATTTTACTCTTCATTGATTAAAAGCCCCAACTGTGCTTTGATGAGGACTGTTTCTGTTTCATTGAGCCACACCAGCTTTTCACTAGAAGTTATAATGGAAACAGCAATTGGATATAACCATATAGAGTCTAACCTAGTAATATCAAGTCCTGCTTCTGTGAGACCACTTGCAGTCATATAGAACAGCCTGTTAGGGTATTATCTAAGAACAGAGTGAGCTCAGGCTGAAGAAATCCCAAAGGGTACTTTTGTACTCAGAATCCCTCAGTCTTAACCTAGTATGCAGCTTCTCCATTTTTCACATCATGTTATGCACAACCAGCCCATACAGAGTATCACTTCCACCATTTACACTGAAGAAGGCCAAGAAAACAAGGCTGAGGAACTGAGGAGCTGAAATTGTGGTGTGTGGATGGACGGCAGAGCTTTTTCTTGTGGTTCACTGAATAAAACATTTTAGAACTGTAATGTGGTAGATTAAGCCACCGGTACCGGAAAGGAATGGGGTCTGCAAGTAGATATTTTCCTTACAAAGTGGTCTACTGACTGAAAACCTGGAGCACCATCAGAGTTCAACTAATTGAGCCAGACAGCTTGTTAGACTGTCTTATAAAAGCTGGATGTCTGGCTAGATAGCTTTTTGGCACTTTGAAGAATGGAAAGGCAGATTTATGAACTGGACAAATGAGCATTACAGTCAGGAATTTTTCAAACAGTTTGGCTGTATCTGAGACCCTCTGACTTTCAAAAAGATGCTGCTTCAAAAGCCAGCCTCTGCCAGCTCCTAAATGCACCATTCAGCCTCAGATACTGTTGCTGATTTTAAGCACCTTCCTGTGCATTGCACCTAAAGAGGCAGGATAAGTTTAGAGTCCATTTTATCCCCGTTTACCCAGTAACATGAAAGCTTCAAAACAACAAGAAGGTTCAGGAGGCAGATAGGTGTGCCTGCACTTAGAGGAGGAACAGGGTGATGTTAACATGCAGAAAGAGCTTCATGCACTTCTGTAAAGGTGAACCTGCATCTATGTTCTCCTACTATTGCTGAGACTTCAGAAACATTCAGCTTCCTCACAACATACATATGTTCATCGCGGGCATGCATCGCTACAATACACCCATAAATCTCTCGTGTTAGGCTCAGTTTGGACAGGGATTGCTGAATCCTTTCCATGGCTTACTCTCAGGAATTAAACCCTAACTCACCGTGTCCTGAGCTACACTGTTGATTAGTCTCCATATCCTCACCACCAGCAAACAGCCAACAGCAGCACTGCCAAGGTTTCTGCACTTGTTTCTGTCTCTTCTGTGTGGAACGTCATTCCAGTTCAGATCCATCAAACTATCCAGCGCAGACACTGAAACACTGTGGGCAGAAGAATACACAAATCAGAATTTCTTGGAAAAACCCAGTCTCTGTAATTGTAAATAGCTGGTTTTCTTCATTGTATGCTATTTCCTGTATGCATTTCGCTCTTTCTGATTTCTGAGCTTTAGATCAGCTTAGAGTGGAATGGATGGATTCATGCCTGAAAATGACTGAAAAATCAGGTAGAAGCTGCACAGAGAGGAGCATGTTGTGTGTCTTCCAGCATGGTAATCAGGCAAAAAAATACCATGACACCTACCAGGGTGCCAGACACCTGAGCTTCACAAACAGAAGGGAACAAGTAAGAACAGAGAACACTTGCAACTTGTGTTATTTTTTGATGCCGCTGCTCCCTCTCCTAACAAAACAAAATAGAAGATGAGAGTTAAACGCTGTTTTGTACATCATAATTTGGAGAAGTTTCTCATTTAAGCTAGGCCATTTCTGAGACATCGTTAAGGGTGTTAAAAGCAAATCAAAGCAACTTGGAGGAAACCAAATCCCCTCCAGACCCAGGAGGAAGATGGTGTTTTGGTTTAGCATGTGCCCTTCTCACCCTCGGGAACCTGAGAACAAATCATATTCACCACTTGCCTACATTGTCACAGTACCACTCGTTTTTGTCATCATTTGCTATCTGTGGCCACACCAGGACATGTGCCCTAGAAATGAGGCAGAAGAGCATATCGGTTTCGGAGCCGAAATCAGCACCCATCCTCATTTAGGAAGTGAGAAGGGAGGAAGCACAGCACTCACAGAATTCCTCTATTCCTTGTTTCAATCCCTGCTTCTTCTTTTCCCCAGTTTTCAGGGTGCGCACTGCTGGTTTGCTAGTTTGTAGGTGATAGGTTTCAGTGGTCAGTCTTCAGAAATCCTGCGCTAATAAATAGGTAAAAGAGGAAGCAAACATATGGAGGAAGCTCAGACTGAGTTCTGGCAAATCCTACACTTGATCTGTCTTGCAGTGTTGCCAGTGCTAAGTGTTCCAAACTCATATGTGATGAGGGTGGCTTAAAAATAATCAATTTGGAGTTCCTTTTTATTTGCCTTCTGGCTTAAAAAGAATCAATCTGAGGTTCCTTTTATTTGCCTTTGGTTTCCGAGCCTTCAGGGTATGCTCAGATAATGTTTTCTCAGAAACCACGTGTGCTAGAAGGCTTTCTCTTTTCCAACTAAAAATTGCTATTTCTCAAGTCAAGCCCCAGCCCTATGCTAAGGCTACACGTACCAAACAGCATGAGATGTGCAATAACTCACTAGAGTCACAATCCTTCATCTCGTTCCCTTCATCTTTGATTTTTCATAGGTCAGGGTGGAATGACAGAAGTAAGAAAGTGAACAAACTGATATGAATAAAAACATGAGAAGTTTTCAATTAGGAGTTAGGGTAGGAGGGGTAGCAACTTAATAGATGAAATAGAAAACAAAGGAAAACAAGGGTGGAAAGAGAGATGAAATGGGAGGCTTGGCAGTGTTCACAGACATAGCAAAACAAAGAGAGAAAGCAAAGCAAACAAAGAGGAAACATCATTCTGCGTATACTTACCCTTTTAGTGCAGCAGCTGCTCTGGGGCTCTGGAAGCTATCAGCACCATAAATAGCTCTGTATCTGTAATTAATGATTTGAAGCTGTGCCAGTATTTAACTAAGGATTAGCCCTGCCTAAGCAAATGGTCAGCAGCACGTGGACCTTTGGAGACCAGGTGTTCTCAAGCTTTGAAATGCTGCATGCTCGTGTTCTGCATGTATGTGTGTCTTCTGGAGGGTCAAGTTAACTTGAAATTCAGGATCTTTGAGGGTTGGGTTGGGGGAACACTCTTTAAGTTCTTAGGTCTGAAATGAAACCTGCAAGATTTGTTTCCTCTAGCAGGTATGTATCTCTGCTGAGGGCTGTCACTGTCTACTCTTCTATAGCCTGACTATATGTGGTGTCTGGCTGTCAGAAGGCTTGAAGGAGTAGTTCAGAAAAACACACTGAATTCTGGCTATTTCTTCAAAGTAGAAAGTTCTCATTTTCAGAATTTCTTCCAGTTTTATCCCTCTGTATATTTTTTGCTAGTGTGTCTCTTGTAGCATTCCTATCCCTATGATTTGATGTAGAATTGTCTTTTCATTCTTCTTTTATTAGACTTTTAGATGTTTTTGTCTCTGCCCCCAAAATCCAAGTTGTCCTCAATGTACATTGAACTACCTCCCATCTCCTTTCAAATCTGTCAGTGAATTTGCAAGATTTCTGGCGACAACATTCATCTACGCTTTCTTACAGCTTGTGAAATAGATGCATCATGTTTAGCTCCCTGTTTAGCCACTCTGTGCATCCTGTGTCCCTGCGGAAGAAAGAGCTGTCAGTAAGTTATGTACATAGGTCAGGAGGCTGGATTTACCTCTGCTATACTTAGTTGGTGAGTCATATTTAATCTAGGGTAAACATCAGGAATTTTTATCCCCCAGATTTCAAATGCAAAGCCCAAAATAAGAGGTTTCTTATACACTCTACCTGGGTGGAAGGATTCTCACTGAGGGCTGAACAAGAAACCAGAGAAGTCTAAGGAGAACCATAGAAGCAGCAATATTGTGACTTGGATGGAAAGCCAAGAATGTTCTTGTGGTACAACCCTGACTAATAAAGAATGTTGAAACAATAAACCTCTCTCTATTGCGTTCAGAGGCACAGAATATTTGGACTTGCATTCATCTGCAAAGCTCTCATGCATCCACCTCTCCTTCCTGAAGACTCCTTGTCTCATTAGTAAGAATATGCTCCACGAGGGCAACGAACAAACTGAAAGACACCACAAAAAAACAGTCAGATAAAGAGAAAAGATGGATTGGTAAATACTCTATAGTCATAGACTGAAACAGAATGAGCATGTCTTAATTTAGGCACTATCCATTGGTCAGTAATACATTGCTGATTTCAAATCACCTTTTAATAAAGTAGCTTGGTCAGCAGTGCCTCAGCTACTGAAATCAGATAATATTTATTGTACTATTAAATACCGGTTTATTTATTCAAATATTTTATCAGTTACCTTCAAAAATGACCTTCCTATTCCATAACATTTTTCTTTGCAAATACTGAGCTTTAACTCTAGCCTCATTTCATGCTTTAGAGCATCTTTATCAGACATTTACTGAAACACATCACATGCTCATAAGCCGCACAGAAAAAAGTTCTCCAAGTGGGAAGCTTTAGCTACAAATCTATTTGTGGAGGTATCAGCATATGATGAGGTCTGCAACGTTAGATCTGTGCCTGGAAATCACCTATTGCCATGTCCTGAGCTGCAGAAATGAAGGGGCAAGGAAAATGCTTCTCTTTCGTTCTCTCCCTGCCTCTGTCTCATAGACCCGCACGAGCACACCCATGTGTGCGTGTGCATGCACGCATGCACGTACTCACAAAAAGCTTCTGTTTGGATTCAGTTCTACCAGCCTCTTTGTGCAGTTACAAACTGCAGATGTTCTGAACTCCAGGGCACGGTTCAATTTCATTTGCAAATGAAATATATGACTTACATATTCGAAATACAATGAGTCATCTCCTCAAGAGCAATAGTCAACCCCTGGACTGGCCCAGCATCCAGAGTTACTACAGATTTACTTATAGAGCTGAAACGATCAGTTCTTTGAGGACACACAGTGTTGGTTTTTCTTTTCCCAAACGAGGGAGAATACTTCTTTTCTTTTATGAATAAATATTTTAATATAAAAATATCCTGGCTCCTTCCACTGCTAAGAGTGTGTGTTTTCATGTCAGTTTAAAATTAACGTAATAACACACATGTATTTTTTAGCCAATAATAGCCCACTACTATTTGTGTCGTGAGCAATAAAACATGATGGTTGCAGTGTCAGTAGCCTTACATTTGTGGATACACCAATTATAAAACTTCACATTATTCAACTCAAACCTGTTTGCACGAGCTGACCAGTTCAAGGGGCTGACTCACAGACTGTTAAAACCAGTTACTTGGTACACAAATTAGGTTGTTGCCCAACCCCAGTTGTCACTATGGCTTGTAGGGAACACTTAACAGCTGTTTAAGTGTTAATCAGCTCCTGACAACTGGACTTACTGTAAGGGTGGAACTTTAGATGTTGTGGATGGTATCTGGCCAGTGATTATGGTTTGAATATTGTGTATCCACTTTCCTTGACACGAACTGGAGTGTTGCATTGAGAGGGAGAAGATGCAAGATGGTGTCCCCAGGGTGTAACCTGGCCACTATAAAACTGACGGCAGGTAGGTCTGCTGTTGTGAGTTGCTTACGTATTTGATCTGCTTTGAAACAACATTCTCAGTATCATCATACAGCCCAACACAACTGCCCCCTGCTCATACCATTACCTTGCACAGCACCCTGATGTTGGCTTTGTGTCAACTGCACTTTTCTTGGCCCTCTGTCTGTCCAGCAAATCTGGCCCTACTTCTTCAACCTTCTTCCTGCTGCAAGAGCTGAGTGCCCGCACAAGTCTCACAAGCTGAAGAGCTGGAGAGAAGATGCAGGAGAAGAGATTGACAAAAAACTGATGTCTTTCCCGAAAAGATGGGAAGCCACAGTGGGCAGGGATGTGGGGGGATTGAGAAAACAGGAATTAGGCTGCCCCAGGCAAAGACCTGAAGAGCTTGATCTTTTTCTTCTATTCTCCTTCTCTCCAGGCATCGGTGCCCCAGGCTCCCACAGTGGTTTGGTACCATCTGCACCCACATTAGCTTTTCTGATCTACTCTCTCTCATGCTAATTCCTCCAAGGATCTTTGAATAAAGCCCTAGCACATCACTCAGCAGCTTTCACAGTTGTACCTCTTTCACACCTCTCTCCAAGGTATGCAGGTACTTGAGGAGAGTGGAACTGAGCATCTTGGAGCTAAGATGCCAAGCATGCCATTACTAAGGCCAATAAAACAATAGAGCATATGAGAAAGGCAAATGCTGAAGAAACTTTGAGTCTTTCTGGTCACAGATGCTCATTCATACTTGGGAAGGAAATACCCTTCCACACTCCCCATTTTCCCTTCCTCCAGTTAGCACACTTAGCTTTCACAGCTGGATCTCTTTCATATCTCTCTGCAAGATATGCAGGTATTTGAGGAGAGTGGAAGTGAGCATCTTAGCTCCCAGAGGCTGATTTTGGTATATCATGTCTATTTACTGTGACAGCCTGCCATAAATACCTTTCACTTCAGCAGAGCCCTGTGCTCTGTTTGGCTCAGCCTTTGTTCCACCTTGACCTTGAACTACAGGCACTGAGATAAAGGACTTCCTCAGTTGCGATCTGCTCTTGGTCACATCCCCAGCAGCTGAGACCCTGTGGAGTGGATCAGAGCTACATAAGCATGCAATAAACAAACTTCAGTTAACCCAGTTGGTATTGTGAAATGCTGGGGTTTAGGTGGGCTGTATTTCAGAGGCTGTGCACGAAAAAATGTCAAGCGAATTGAGTCAATATGTAGGTTTTTGGCCGTTTAGCATCTGACCACTCAGCTTTTAAACACCAGCCGGGCTTTATTCAAAGCCATGGGTCTGTAACACAGCATCCAGTTGTGTCGCATGCAGCACTAGAGGGCAGAGCTAACAGCTAATGAGACATTAAGGGTGCCTTAGGGACCCGGGAATGTACATTATAATGGAGTTAAACAAACTTTTAGGAGGCTGAGACACAGAAGTCAAAATATGAGGTGACTGGTAAAATAAATGGCACGTTAATTGCGATGCTGGAAGCATGACAAACACTACAGACGTGGCCTTGCGTACTTCCCACAGCCCTGCTTGGGAGCATTTGCACCTCTGAGAGATGCCACTTCAAGCTTTCTGCACACCTCCTTCTCCCGTATTTGCAAGGTTCTGTTTGCAAAAGGGAGAACTAGACCTGTGCCTTTGCAAAGCAAAGCTGAGCTGCTGGAGCTCATGAATTTGCTAGAGCCAAACTCTTCCTGCCATGGGTGCTCTGGCCCTGTAGTATTCCTGGGTCTCTGTGCAATGGGACTCATTGGTGTCTGCAGGGACTGAAGATGGGAGTGGATAGAGAAGGTCTTGAGATCTGTGATAAATGTTGGAGTTCAGCTGTTGCTTGCTGGCCCATGTTGACTCTGTGTGGCCAGTGAAGTATATCTCAGAGCATCACCTGTAGTGTGGCACCACACTGATGCAGGTATGGGTGTTTGTGTGGACACTGCTTCAGAGGAGGTTCCTAGCGTCACTGAGGTCTGTGGAAAGGGACTGTCTTTCCTCTGCTTGGTGCCCAGGGAGAAGATGAGTCACAGCAGGTACCACCTAAGTAGGTGCGGGTAACCTTGAATTTAACTGCTCTCTCTCATCTAACTGAAGACCATGGCTGGTGAAGGTTGGAGGGTGTGAGAAAAGGAGGGTGAAACTGGAATGGGAGTGGCTTGTCTGAAGGCTGAAGGTGGCAATCGAGGCGAGGTATTAGATTCTGTCCCTACCCAGCCTTTTACAGATGCCCACAGGGACCAAAGAGAATCCCTAACACAAAACTGGAGCACTTTTTTACACTGCTGCAAAATTTTCTCCCATTAAACTTCTGCAAGCTTGCAGGAAAAGAAGAAAGGAAAAGTTACTGCTTACCCCCTGGTCAGGTAACACCAACCAAAGCCAGGCAGACATTTGGTTTACCTATGTTGGTCAGGAAAAAGAAGGGAGTTACTTTTGTGCATCACTCATACTGTGGCTGCTGTTGCATGGCCAGCCACCTTCATGCTTATCTTGAGACTGCTCCGTCTTCAAGAAATGAAGTGTGATTTTCACACTGATTTATATGATTTTACAATGATTTCTATGAGTTGTGGCCTGTCCCATGACAACACCTGACCCATATAACGTGATGTAAGAATCGCCCTTTCTCAGGGTCAGCAGCGCTGGGACACAGGTCCCTGTGTTAGACACACCACCCACAAAGTGGCGCATATGCCTTCTCCTTTATTTCGCCTGTCAGCTCCCTGAATTACTTCCAGGTAGTGCTGCACGTTTCTACCTTTGCCTTTAATTAGGTGCAAACACTCTGTATAAATAAAAGAGAACGTTCCCTGCAGCGAGTCGGCTGTTGCAGGCTGCCAGACACTGAAAAATGTTTGTCTCTCTTCCTGTTACTTAATAATTCCCTCTTTACAAAGAAATCTTTCTCTCCTTCTTTTTTGCTTTCCCTTCCCCAGTTGGCTTTTGGGGGTTAGAAGCTTGGATACAGCTGCAGAATAAGTTTGGGTCCCAGTGTACAGTAGGTGTACTATCCCTGAACACAATAGGTGTACAGTACTACCCAGGGTTCCTGCCTGCCTTTCAGTCACACAGTCTCCATACCCTTTAGGAGATGTCAGTCATTGCAGTGCTTGTATGTAAATGCTGTATTGTCTATTAGGTATTTCAGATTCCTTTACACGGTGCCTGGCAAGCCAAACCATAATTCTTTGTGTCCTGTTTCTAGCAGCAGCTCAAGTCATAGACTTCAGGAAAGCTGTCATCCCCCATAATAATGACATGATATTAGAAAGGTATCTATAAAGAAACTTAGGTTAATTTACTAAGAGTATATCAGAATGGCATGTAAAGTTGGTTACAGTTATCTCCATCTATATGTGAAGGGAGTCTGAAGAGGTTGTGCAGAAGTGTTAGCAAGCTGTAGAACCCAAATTCTCTTGGTTTCCACAGTTCTCAACACTGTATCTAGGGAGAGCCATCATCAGCATGTCTGGCCTGTCGGAAGTCAACTATTTCATGACATTTACGTGTATTAACAGCTATCTAAAGGCTTGGATATGATAACTCATACCTCGGTATGGATCACCACAAAAGGTTTTGGAGGTATCCAGCAGAGCCATCATTTTGTGCAGCCTCTGCAGCGGAGTGTATGGCATGTAGCTGTATGCCTCAGTTATTTCTGTATTTATCTCTTTTCTACTTCTTTTGGAGACAGTACTTCAGAAGTTCCAGACTACATGATAAATTCTAATAATCACGCTGGTTATAGCAATTTAATAGCCACCTTCATCACATATTAATGTAGATCTCTTTAAAAAAGAAAAAAACAACTAAGATTTAGGATGAGAATTAAACCTAAAGCCTGTATTTCATTTAAATTAATTTCTTTAAGCTGAATTATGCAGACTGTCATCATATGAAGCTATTGCATTTTGCAGAGAAACAAACAGCATTTCATGCTTTAGTGACAGAGAGGTACCTTTTACTGAACAGATGTATTTCTATTGTGCTTTATTCTGATATGAAAAGTGACCTTTCCTATGACTTTCCAGCATTCCTCAAAGACCAGATTCTTTGCCAGCTGCAGCACTTAAACATATCTGCCAGCATATTCCTGCTTTGCTTGAGACTGCAAATGTTTCTGAGTGTCTATTTGCTCAAGGCCTTAGGATCCTAGGTCCCTATCTTGCAAAGGCTTAAGATCATGTGCTAGAATTTGCACAATTGGAGCCCTTGCATCTATAATGTTTATAGTACGTGAATTTTTAACGGCAGAAAGTGAACATTCCTCATAGTAGATATGAAGAGACCAAATACAATAATCTCTATTGTAAATACACATTCCTATTTTCATATGTGTCTTTGTTCACTTATATTTCCTTTAAGTGTTTTATTTAGTACTGAAAAATTCACTCTAACGTGAATGACATATTCCAGATGTAAAGGTATAGAGATGGTCTTCAGGTACTAGATGCCCTATTACTGTGTGCTTCACAGCACTCGAGTGCTTTGTGTGTGTGCATTCATATGTGTGTGTACATACTTTATGGCCCGCTGCCTTCATGTGTTTTACTCTCTATGTAAAAGTTTGCATACAGTGAAGCACTGTTCCATCAAATATCACTGTTGGCACATTGGCTCCTCCCAGGGAAGGCACAATCTCGGAGCTGTGTAAAGATGCACGTACAATCCATCTTTTGTAACGTGTCATAATACATTGTACATCGTACACTGAATAGTTTGACCAGTGTGCTACTGTTGTGCTGTGAATGCCAGAGGTTCTGAGCAAAAGCTTGTATCTGTTCCTAACCATCTTAACTTCCAGATCTCATTTTGAGCTTTCGGTTCCAAGAAGCCCAAAACCTAGTGGCAGGATTTTTGCCTGATTAATCTTGATTTCAAGAAAAAACAATGTGTGCATCATTTAAACCTAACCAGCTTTATGTAAACCTTCCAAAACGCATTAGGAGCAGGGATTTTTGCTGATAGAAATATTAGATTGGAAGGACAACTGTTTGGCAGTGAGGTACTTACCTTCCAGGGGTTAATAACTGTTAAGTATCCTTACCTTACAGACTTACCCTATGGTTGAGATGGGATGACAAGAAAAAGCCAGATTATTCTATGAACTCTTCATGCCTTCAACAAGGAAAAGATCCTGTTGGATCTTTTGGCCTGTTGGAATTCTTTAAAATCAGTAAGATGCTCTACTCAAGAATACAAGCTGAGATTTTCCAAGACAGAAGCCAGGGTGGCAACATGCCTTGCACGTATATCAACACAAGGAAATGATCCAATTATAGCAAAACTAATCCAACAGACCTTTGGAATTTTAGGTGGAAGTCAGGAAGATGCTGTCCTTTCCTCCAGCTACTTTGTCCAAGCTCATGGGGACAACAAGGGGCCAACAAAGTCGTCAGCCCTATGACAAGTGTCAAGGAAACCTGGAGCTATTGCTGTGGTCACATCAAGTCTCTGTTAATGTCTGTGTGTCTTGTGGTAATTATTCAGTTTCACAGCATCTCTTTGCTGTCTGTCTAAGTGTGTAGATTCAGCATCTTCTCTCATCATTTTGTGTCCACGGCTTGTTAAAATAGGGGTAGAATTATTGGTATATGGGGGGTTAAAACTGTGTTTTACACCATTAGATATGCCACCAGTGAAAGAAACACAGATTAAAAGAATGCTACCAGTTTCCCTTGCCTTTTCTGTCATGTTGCATGTTAATTTCTGTTGTACAGAGCATACAGTTTCCCTTGGAATGAAATCCACTTACATGGTTGGATGGAGTCAGCAAGAAACTGCCCATCCTTCTAATTCGGGAGGTGTTCCTTACCTGTCAGGCTGGCAAGGCAATGAAAAGAAACCTGCTCCATCCCTGTTCTCTGGCAAAACAGAAAATTCAAAGCTAACAGTTTGAAAGCTCTCAGCATGTACAGTGGGCTTAAAGACAGGGGAGGAGGCTGTGATCCTTTGAAAGCTGACAGGATCAGAGCATTATCTGCCCAAATTAGTCAGGTATTTCTAAAACTTCTAGTACTATGGTGTTACTTGCTTCCTTCAGCATAAGATACTGACAGATACTGCCCAACACTGGGCAGGTCCATTCTTATCAGAAGATGCCTGCAGCTGCCTACCAGCACAGCACCTTGTCATGTGCAGTGAGGAGGGGTCAGCTCCTCACTCCTGTTCTGGTGGCTCAGGGTTTCGAGCAGATTTAGCATTTTTATTCCTTTTTTTCTTTTTATCCCCAGCTTCAAATTTCGAAGGGAAAAAATGTTAAGAAGCTGAAATGAAAGCAGAATCGGATGGGAACATGCAAACAGCATTTCTGGGTCCTGCTCCGTTCCAACAGCAACACAAAACTATTCCGTTTATTTATTCAGCGAAATAAACCCTGGCATCACTACCAGGATGTTTCCTCTTATTCTGGGGGGTTGTTTTGAGTTGTGTTGGGACAACTATAGGATGAATGAGAACAAGGGACAGATGTCAGTGCTGTTAAGTGCTAGTGGGAGCTGGAAACTCCTTTCATCAGCTGCTTTCAGAGTGTTCAGATTTGACCAGCACCATTCAGCTTGTCCAGGAGTGTTGACAGAGACAAGCTGATGGACTCCCACTTCAACCTTCAGTTCCTTATACCCATCCCGAACCTGGGATCTGAAAGAGCAGGATTAACCCGTCCCAATCCTGATCTTCAGGGAGGCTCAGCCACCCAGGTCCCGTGCCATTTGTCCCCTTTACCTGAAGACTCTCAGTCTTACTGCAGGAGCCCTGACCTACAGCACTCAGCAGCACCACTGACTGATTCATGTTGCGGAGAGAAAACACCCTCCACATCTGAACCCATCCCTCCAGAGATGCACAGCTAAACCCACAAACTCACCACGTACCAGCATCAGCTACCTAGCTGCCCTTCTCCTCTCAGCCAGGGATTTCTTGTCCTTCCCCTCCCCGGCCCCTCTTCACTCCCTCCTGCCTTTTACATTGCTCACACCGTGCTCCATTAGGTATTCACTACCAGGGCAATGTGACTTTTCACACCAGCTCTCTGCATGCACTGCCCTGCAGACTAGGCTGGATAAAGCCTCTCCCCAAACCCAGCTGTCTGGACATACCCCCCCCCCCCCCCCCCCAACCTTCCCCTCCCCTTCACATCAGCCAAGCCAAGGATTCCTCTCTCCCTCCCTCTTTCTTTTTCCACCCCTCCCGCCTTCAGCGCAGACCCAAGATGCAGGCTCCTGCCGAGGGAAAGTGCTCCTTGGAATCATCACCGCAGACCCCGCTGCGAAAGTGCAGTGGAGGAGAGAGGAAAAGCATTGGCAGCCAACCTCCTGCGGCTGAGGGCTTCGCAAGCAGGGCAATGGCTTCAGGCTCTCAGAGCTTCTCTCTCACCTTTCTCCAGGGCGTGGGATCTGCCTTCTTCATCCTTCAGATCATCTCTGTTCAGGCTGATGGTGAGTTCCCTTTCAGTGCGGGCTGGGGTTGCTGTGGCTGGAATGAGAGCTGTCTGTTGAAATGTGTTCTTGCATTAAAAAAAAAAACCAAACCAACAAACCCAAACTTCTTTTTTTTTTTTTTTTTTCATAAGAAACTTAAATACACGCCCAAGTTTGGGTTAGGAAATGTCTGATTCAGAGCGTTTCGAGACTCTGCAAATACCCTGGGGTTAAGCAGAGAAAGGAAATAAGACCCCAGAAGGATAAGATTATTTTATTACAACAAACCGACAGGAGAGTGGACTTTTCCAGAGGAAATAAGAATAATGGGGCAAAGCCAGAACACAAATCAGAAGACTCAGCTATGTTTTAGGGGAGCTCTCTTTATAATTAGAAGTATGTTTTCCCCAAAGCACTTCCCCATCTGCCCGCTTCAGATGCCCCCCAACAGCCATTTATACAGGCAGGTATTTGAGGAGGGAAGACAAGAAGTCAAGGGCTTTTGTAACCTTTTCTGCTCAGTACCACACACGCTGAAGGTGACTGCTCACCTTTCTGCACATGAGTTTCATCTGCACTTCACTGCCGAGGGATGGGATCAGGACATGGATTTGATTGAAGCACCAGCTACCGCTTACTCTGAAAAGGGACCTTAGCCTTGACAACAATCCTGAATAGCTGCAAGTTTCCAGTAGCCTTTTAATGATTGAGGCTGTAGTAATGATGACCAACTTGCCTCAGCAAAAACACGGTTTCTCTTTGAGACAACTGTGTCTTTTCCCTGGGAGAGCAATGCTGAATGGCCACTTCTTCTCCACTCTCACAGCTGCGATAGATTTATGCCTGGTCTCATGGTGTTTTTACTTCAATGCACTAATCCTTTACCGTCCGTGTCTGCTGCATTAGTCCAGAGATCTTAAACATTATGGGGCAGTGTAATGCCCTCTTTTCTTTTCTCTTAAACCAAAATTAATGTCAGCTGATGAGAAAGTATGGCAAAGGAAAGGGGGAAAGTGAATCTTGCCTCTATGTTTCTATCACCTTGCTTAAAATACCCTTTATAGAAGAGAACCCTGTCTTATAAATGTGAAGAAAATTGCTTTTCATTAAGAATAAAGGGAAACGAATGGGTCGGGCAACTGTGCTGTGTTGCAGGAGCAAAACTGTGACTCTGCTCTTAGGAAATCCTCCTTCCCTAGCAAAATGCCTCTGAAATGAACTAAAAAAGCAATGCATACCCATGAAAGAGTGCTCCCACTGAACATAGGTAGGGACAGGACAGGAATAAGGAATTTCTCTTGCTAATAATGTTACATCTGAAGAATTTCCTTACCTTTTCAAGAGCACAGACCAATTTGTATTGCTTCTATAGGATTAATGGCATATTCTTGGCTCCTAAACAGCCATCCTCTAAAAGAGAAAGCAAAAAGTATGCTGGAGATCGCCTTATGTCAGAGATCATTACAGTTTTTAGTTATCATTCAACAGTTTGTTCATATTGAATTCACACATGGTACAGCAATTATAAGAAGTAAGGGTTAGAATCTCTGAAGTGCATTACAGTTGTAGATCCTCACTATAATAGTGTGCTTTCCATTTTCATTTAACTTTTAAGTATCAATGTGAAAAATGTGCAAGTCCTCATTAACATGCTCGTCAGTGTGTTTTCCTAATATGAATATTCCAGCAGACAGCTGTAACACTGTCCTATAAACTACCTGGCTTATTATACATTGACACAGAAGAGAACACGATGTGAACTTTAACATTTCCCACTACGTGTACTTTACATGTTTAAGATCTGAGAGTATGAAACAGGGCTAATGTGTTCTTTTAGAACAGATTCTGGCTTGATCCAGACAGGAAACCACCTTCTCATGTGTTCAAGTTGTAGGTGAAAAGACAATTGTGCTACTCTAATACATGCAAATCTGTCTTAAGTGCCAGAGGACCATCCTGGGTGACACATGTATGTGTGTATGTGTTAGTTTTAACTCAAACTAAGTGGCTGTTTTGCAATCTGCTGAAGGGATTTTGAATTCACCTCGTAAAAACCCTGTGAAATTCAGACTGGCCCCTGTTAGAGGCAAACCTCTGAAGCTGATTGCAATGTATTTCCCTAAGGAAGACTTAACTTTATTATCAGCTCGCATACAAATAATGACAGAGAGCAGGCAATGAAACTGGAGACCATCAAGGTCTGGTGAAGATGTAAAACCTCAAAGCTTAACTGATCTCTTTTGCCTAGTATTTGCCACAGCACATATTGCTGTAGTGCACATAGACTCCAGAAAGACCATCGTAAGTAAAGACCAACCAAGGAAAACGCTGAAATAAAAGGTGGCTTTGTTTCATTTTGCAAGTTTTTTACCATTGAAAGATGCTTGCTTATAGCTATTTAGGTTGGGGTCAGATGGACAGAAGGCTTCTCAAGGGCTTGTTCTTGCTCTGACATACCGTGGGGTGCCATTAGTTTTAGTGCAGTTACTGGAGGATAATACAGGTTG